AAAAAAAAAAAAAAAAAAAAAACAGCGACTGATAAAAGCACCCTTAGTTGACCGATGGTGCGTACGTTTACTCGCGCTCAAAGCCTGCATGTGCATGTGTTGACCTCTTTTTCTTGCATTATATCTTTTTGCATAATTTAGGAAATCTGTGGTTTATGCAACCATTAGCCTGTTATAGACGTCATTATTACGATGTACGCACGTATCGCACACCGGCTTCCGTTTTGTAACACGTGCACGCGCGCGTGTGTATATAGTTGCGCGCATTTATTATATGCAATGAGCTTGTGCTATTACCCTCGTGCACTCTCTCTCTATTTTTTTACATATATACATACATATTTATATTATATTTCAATATATGATTACGAATCGAAGTTTTCCTTTTTTTTTTATCTATTCAATTTAAAAATTCAATAAAATTTAACAGAGATTGCAAAAAATTCGTGTGTACTTTGATCGAGAACGTACAAAAACGAGCGCATAATTTAAATAGCGCGCCGATTGCAGCGAATCATTTGTGCGCATGCGTCAAAACGATTGGCCGCAATGCGCGCAAAATTTGAATTGGTTTAGAATTGATTATTTGATATCTTTTTTCTTGACGTATTATTTTTTTTTTTTTTTCTTTTGCTTCACATTATTTTACGTTCAATGAGTCTCTTGAGTAGTTTTATTCGTTACATTGTTCGTTCAGTTCGCTGATAAGAGACGAATAGGAGATATCCATGAAAGATAATTGTGACGATTTAAAAAATAACGACGATTTTAAATTGGATTACGCGAATCCGTCGAGTGAAAAGAAAAAATATATAAAAATACGTATTTTTAAAGTAGATTTTATGCTAAAGAGACAGATAAATAAAATGAAAGATCAAAAGTTGGTACATCGAGACTAATATGCACTCGCTCGTCGCGTGCACCGAGTTTTTTTGGCTGTAGTTTGCCGTTGTTGTTTGCCGTAAAACCCGAGAATAACGAGTAAAATTTTTTTTCATATATATTTTTCTTTTTTTTTTTTTTTTTTTTTTTTTTTTTTTTAAATAATTTTTTTTTTTTTTTTTTTTTTTTTTTTCTTTTTTTTAAATAACATATTTCGAATAAGCTGTGGTATGAATAATGTAGTGAAGCCAAATTTCAATTTACTTCGCGATGAGAGTCGCGAGGTGAATTCGTGATCAAGATTTCGCGAAGGCAAATCAAAACTCACGAATTTTCATCTAGTTTCAGCTTTACATAAAATC